TACCTGGGGAAAGGATATGGACAAAACATGTGCAACCAAAGATACGTGGAGAAAGAGAGTGTAACAGTTGATCAGAGAACAAAACAGAATGAGGGACCTGGTTTTGTAGGACAGAAGAAGGCATCCTATTAATCAAGAAATAGGCAGTTAACATAGCGTCTGCCCAGAACCAGAAAGGAACCTGATTGTGTAAGAAGTTGTCGGAAAGAAGACTGGTGCGTGGAGGCGCGTGCGGTGGCGACTGGCAATGAATTTTTCAGGTTTTGCCGGCGAGGAGAAGACGAACAAGCTGGTGTGGTTAGAAGAGTGATACAACACCAAAAGGGGATAGCCTGAACTTCGCCGGAAAAAAAAAATCGCCGGAAAAAGAAATGAATTGTTTTCTAGGGTTTCTGATTTCTTAGCTCTGATACCATGTGAAATCAGAAGAATTTTCATAATATTGATTGTGAACAAAATACAACAATATATACATATTCAACAGTCCATAAAAGGAAATGAAATAATCTAAACTAGGAAAGGGAATGATCTAATTTCCAATTCTAAAGATCCTATTCCTACAACATTTGATTTGTACAACTCAACGGATTCATATAACTCAACATGAGTGAACATGACACTAAGACTGAGAGTGAATCTAAGAGTGCCCATCTTAAAAGTGATTATCATTCTATTGTTGCTTACCTTAAAAACGATAACTATGAAAGGAACTTTCTTGAAACTACCCAATTATTTTCAAGAGAACCTAAATTACAAGTTGATGAAGTTGAATTTAGAGTGAAAGTTCAAGTAGAAGATCCTATTAACATTGAAGCAAAGCTAGATGAAACAAAGAAAACATCGAGATTGAGTAGATCAAAGCAATTTTGTGGATTTTATCATAGAGACTATCAATCTTATAAGAGTTAGTGTTGTATCAAGATTGTTATCTTTGCCTTAAAATGGTTGCCATGTTGTTATGTGGGATGATGTTTATGTTATGCCTACACAAGAGAAACTATGGTATTATCTCATTTGTTGGACACAACCACATGATTCAACCTTTTCTCTACAAGCTCTCTAGATTTCAAGTTATTATCATTCAACCAACATTTAATTTTGCGACAGTCTCACCACCTATGTCGTTGCCGAGTATAGGTACCCTTTTGTTGAAGGTCGTTCAAGCTTTTCCTAGAATATATAGCATGGGTTACTTCAAAACTGTAACTTCTAGTATTCAAACATAGTCTCGAGGCATTTTCTCTACACTTTTTAAACCCTTGTCCTTGATCCATAACCATCTTTCGGTTAGGTTAGCCTAGCCTCTTCCATCCCTCGAGACCAACAAGGGGTAGTACAAGAATATTCACATCTTCGTCGACTAGGTCTTTCGGCTTGATCTTAAGCCCTACTCACCCTCTCACAAACCTTGTGAAGGAATCATTGGGTTTTTGGGGAATTAGATTTTTACCAATGTTTACATTACTCAAGCCAACATTCTCCCTTCCACTAGAAGCGAGAGAGAATTAATATAGGACATTTGGTAATGCAAATGATTATTTAGTCCTTATCTTTTTATATTTTAGGATAAGATGTTTTAGTTAATTTAGTCGTTTATTTTGTTATCTAATGGCTAAATTAGGATAATGATTTCATATTTCATTATTTGTTTAGGAATAGAATTACTAGATTTCTTATTTCATTAGGATTTGGTTTGTCAAGCCTAGGGTTGTTAGCCGAGCCACTCGAGAGTAGCTCGGGCTTGACTACAATGTATTTTTTTGCTCGAAAAGCTCGATTGAGAAAGTGAAAAAGTGGAGAACTGAGAGTATTTTTTTGTGAGATCGAACTTGGACTCAAACTCAAATTTTCAACATCGAGCTCAAGCTCGAGCTTGAATTTTCAAGCTCGCCAAGCTCGAACTCAAGTTCGACATTGTTACAAGCGATCGAGCTCGATTAGCCCAAAGTTCGACTTGGCTCGGCTCGTTTACACCCCTAGGCACGCCTACAAGTATTGCATTTGTGAGAAACATTAGAGTGAGTTGATGAATAAAATAAAGAATTGAGTATTTCTAGTGTTTTCTGCTATCTCTTCTCTTAGTTTCTCCTCTTAAACCTATCTGATTTCACTCTTATCAACCTGATTCTTAATAATCTATCTTAGAACTATCTTATTTCTCTCTTCCTTGATTTTTAATTATATATCTAGTTATTCTTCTATTCCTTTCATCAATCGGTTATACAATTAATTTGTTTTTTCAAAGCACTCCCTTGTCCATCACAAACCTCCACCATATCCAATTCTTAAGATAAAAAGACCTAATTTAAGTCTTTATATTGCCTCTTCATATGTAAGAACCCGAACTACTACCAAGATATTGTCCACTTTGTACACACCATCTTTCACGATTATGTCTTTGGACTTTGCAACTCAAAACACGTCTTCATAACTAAGAAGTTGATAGAGACCCATCTAACAACTCAAACAATTGGGTTAGACAGTGGGCCTTTTGTGGGTTTGAGTAGAACTCTTTGGAAAAATAGCTTGCCAAGGGAAGGTGCCCAAGCCCTTTATAACCCACAAGCCCACCCTTTTCCATTCCAATGTGGGATCCTAACATTCCCACATGCTATAAGACCTAACATCCACACTGGTCCACTCTTGACGGCTTCACTCTGAGTGGCCTACTCTCCCAAGTCACCCCTTCCCAAACATCGTTGGCCCACTTTGGACGGCTTCACTCCGAGTGGCCTACTCTCAGAGGTCACCTCTTTCTACCTTTCCCAGGTTGCTCCTTCTGGAACATGGGCTCTGACGGGGTTTGACTTTGATACCATTTGATAGAGACCCATCTAACAACTCAAAACAATTGGGTTGGACAATGGACATTTTGTGGGCTTGGGTAAAACTCTTCTTGGAAAATCGGCTTACAAGGCAAAGTGTCCAAGCCCTTTATAACGCACATGCCCACCATTTTCCATTCCAATGTGGGATTCTAACATAAGCTCACAAGCTATTTAACCAGCTTTCACCTTTCTTTCCTAAGCGATTTTGTTAATCACATTATATCTTAGAATATTTTGTTAGTTTATTAAGATCCATTATGTACCTCCAAGTTTCCAACACCATCTCTTTACTGCAATGATGAACCTTTTGGTCAATAAGTGGAAATGGCTTTACACATATTTGCTTTTATTTGCGTCTAAGGGTGTTCAAAAGAACCAGTTGGAACCGGAACCGGAACCGGCAGGTACCCTAGGTTTGGTTCTGGTTCTTATCAAGAACCAGTCGTCAATGGGTAGGTTCCGGTTCCAAATTTTTGGAACCGTTACTGTGCGGTTCCGGTTTCGGTTCCTATAGTTAGGAACCGAAACCAGAACCAGGAACCAAGAACCGAGACTAATATAAAATAAAATCAAAGATTAGGGGGGTTAATAAAAACTTTTGTAGAAAAAGTAATGTGAATACATTTATATTTATATTTCATAACATTTAAAGTAAGTTGGTTTGACTTTTGAGAATCTATCTTTACAAAGTAATGAAGTTTGTAATTTTGAATTTTGAATTTTGAATTTTGAATTTTGAATTTTGAATTTTGAATTTATAATTTATAATTTTATTTTTGTTAACAAGTGTCAGGTGGGGGGGTATTTGTAAGTTTTTAAGGGTTTTTTTTGCCATTTTAAAAACTTTTGGGAGGTCATGTAATTTTACAGGGTACCCAGAATCGGAACCAAAACTGTTGTTACAGGTTCTGGTTCTGGGTACCTAGGAACCGGAACCGTCGATTCCGATTCTGGTTCCAAATTTCAAGGAACCATCGGTTCCGGTTCTGGTTCCTTCAAAAAGTGCAGGGTACCCGTAACCGAACACCCCTATTTGCGTCCATGTGATTTTAGTTCATTATTTTCCAAGTATACCTAGAGCATCATCTAGAAAGATAAAACAATAAAGATAGGATGACAAACCCTTTTCATTAACTTTCTCTCACAAACGCGATGTGATAGTTCACAACTTGTTAGTTCGCAATTGGTCAAGCGATACCCATTGTTAGGCAGATGAGACTCATTACGATCTATCACGTCGCATTTGTGAGATAAAATTGGTAATAAGGGTTTGTGAGCGTAGTATTACCCAATATAAAATGACTTCCAACTCGGTTCCTCCATCAAAAAAACTCAAGTGCATACATCAATATCGACCTCCAATTTGTCCTGCCTTAGACATAAAACTTAAGAAAAATATTTTAATAACGTTTTGTTATTATCTCCTAGGGCTAAATTTGCTGCCTCTTATGTCCATGAAAGCTAACACCAGAGAGCTTGTAGCACTCGATACAAGTTTTAGCAAAAGAGAAAGGATCACCTTCAACCAAAAGAGTTGAACGAAATCTTATTCAAAAACTGCCTCTAAGGTTCATACCATAAAATCTCATTATCCACATCCTCACTAATCAACGAGTCAATAACTCTGGCATTTTTCCATCTCTAAAGGTAGCCTTCTCCATCTCTAAAAAAAAAAAAAAAAAAAAATTAAAGAAAGAACCTAGACAAACTGGTGAAGAACAAAGGAAATTTATAGACGCAGATCTAAAAGATAGACAAAACGCCTAGGAAGTCACTTGAAGCTAAGCTGAAGCTGATAACACAAAAATCCCAAAATCAACCGAGTCAGCGCAGCCAAAAGCACGTGCAAATGTATTTTGTCGTTAAGATCACATGCAGCAAAAAGTTCCATTAGAAAAGACGTTTGTGCACAACATACTAAACACAATGAACATCAAGAAATCGACTACACAGTATCTTTTTTTGATTCTAAAGTCTAACACACAATTAATTAATGAATAAAAAATAGCAGACATTCACGCCACACATGGACAGAGAATCAATATGACAAAAATAGTACTAATAAAAATAAAAGTAAAATACCAAATTCGAAAATATTTTCCTTAACAGTTAGACTTGGAAGTTTATCGAGAAGCAAAAAGTGAGATAGGAAGGTGTGGGATAGGAGCACACCTGTCGGTGCTACAGAATTCGTACAGCTTGCCGCGGCTGGAGAAGATGACGAGAGCGACATCGACATCGCAGAGGACGGAGAGTTCTCGAGCCTTCTTGATCAATCCGCTTCGCCTTTTTGAAAAGGTTACTTGACGACTGCTCTTGTTCTCGATTCGCCTCAGTTGCACCTTCTTTCGGCCCATTTCGACTCAATTCACCCCTAATTCTGAATCAAAACGACCTAGAAAGAGAAATTAGGTTTTCTGTTAGGATTGGTTTTAAAAGTGCATAGCACCAACGGGTTTTGTAAGACGTACAATTTAAAATCGGAAGCCAAAACGTCTACTTCTTGACACGTGATTGTAATAAATGGTTTGATGTATTGTTAGTTTTTTTTTTTTTTTTTTTTCGTCTCAATCTTGAATTTAATTAATATCTGCCACCAGTCAATATGTATTCCACCAATCCACCTACCATTAATTGAACTTGTTTACAAAGCTTTTATTTGGACAAAAGTTGAAAGTATGATACAAAGGGAATAGCATATAATCTGTATTCTGGCGGACCACCATGTCGGTAATTGGTGATCCTTATGTCAATATCAACATATATTGTTCCTTTTAGTTTAATCCCATTAACTTACCTTTACTGTTTCTAGAGATTAGAGCCTATAAAAATTGGCATTATATACAATCCAAACTACTTCCTTTAATCTTAAAATTTATATAACATCATTCAAAGAAAAATGAAAAAAAAAAAAAAAAAAAATACTACAACCAAAATTAAATTGTAACCCTTGTATGTTTACCTGCTCGCAGGAATGACCGTAGAACAGACGGGCACAGAAACAATTTGCTTGGATCGAGGAATGGGAGTTCCTCCTATTGGAACAGGAGTTCCTCACGGCGGAAAGGGCGTTCCAGGCCGGGAAGCTACAATAATAACCCATAAACCAAATTCGCATATTTGTTTGAGCAAATTGAAAGTGTGGTGTATGACAGCTAAAAAGAGGCCATCATGTCGGCCACACCACTTACCAACAAGTTGATGAAACGATATATAGCAATAACTGTTGGCTGATGCTAATGCCTATCCCTTTCTTCTCACTTCTCCTTACCACAAATAGAAACAAGAGAAATGAGAACTACCGGTAAGCCAAAGGCCAAGTCTATGGAGAAGGTCGGTAACCTTTTCTAGCTTTTCAATGGTCTCTGGTTATCTCATATCGTGCCACATGGTTATAAGCAGTACAGTCTGAGCTTTTTAGACTTTTTGACTAAAAGAGAAACACTGTAACGGTTATTGAATAAAGCAATATTTGGAATTATTTCACCACCGCCTGCAACCACGCCAGCCTGGGATGTTAAGGGCCACTTAATTTGTGACTCGTGACTCGTGACATGTGGACACGGAACAGTCCCCTACACTTTTTTTTTTTTTTTTTTTTTTGGTGTCAATTCTTGCATTATCTAAATATATCTTTAATTTGACGAGGCCTTGAAAGTTAAATTTAGAGAAATTGACATTACAGGATAATATCAAATTAACAAGTCGTAAGAAAACGTGAAAGATTATTAGTAATTCTAAATAGAATTAAACAGTAAAATGTTATTATTCTTAAAATATTATTATATATTTTTCAATTTTTTAAAATTTTTAAATTTGTTAATTTAACTAAACACTCCCAATCATTTTTTTAAAAAATTACAAAAACACTCCCACCACCCTCCGGCTGTTCGTATTTAATGGGTGGATTAGAGATATTTTTGTTAACTTTTAATATTTTATTATAGGGATGTTTAGTAAATAAACAAATATAGGAGGTATTTTTGTTAATTTTTAAATCCTACATCGTAATACCTGCTCAATTTAACTTTTTTCAAAATATTATTCTAAAAACTATTAGAATAATGAACCAAACAGAGCCTTATATTCTATGAATTCCAACTTCTAACCCAATTAAACTGCCTCTTTTATTGAGTTTTTTTTTTTTTTTTTAAAAGGTTTATAAATCAGATTAAAATTATCTAGAGAAATTAATAATTCTAAGCCATACCCAGGGACAGAACCACACTATAATATACGAGTTCAATTGACCCACTTAAATTAATAAAATAAAAATAAAAAAAGCGGTTTACAGTATTTATAATTTTGATCTCACTTAAATTCATATTGAATCCATTCAAGCTTTGAAAAAAAAAAAAAAAAAAAAACTTTATATTTTATAAAATTTAAAATTTTGATCCCACAAAATTTTATTGTAAATTTATTAATTTAAATATTTTGAGTTTACTCACTAAAAATCTTGACTATGTCGCTACTCTCACGTGTTAAAGTTGCAACAATACGAATATTTAATGTCTTGAATGTTTAAAAAAATGATTTTATCATTTTGTTATTTAATAAAGAGTAAATGACTTTTTCCCACCCAAATAATGTCTTAATAACACTTTTCCACCCACAAATTTTTAAAATACTATTTTAATACCCAATTTATATTCCGTTTCTGATTCCGACATCGTTGCGACCCACCATCACCATTTTATTCTCCAATTATCACTCACCAAAACTCCTCAAACCCTACTCCTGTTGACCCTGCCAATTATCGACAATCGAGCGATTAGAGTTTGTGCAGCCGTCTCTCTCAAGTTTAATTTCGATCAATCTTAATCACCAAAATTTAATATTTTATCACTAAAAGACTCATCGGCCTCTCCTCTTCAAAAACTTCAATAGTTTGGATTGAGTTTGCTCTTTGTTCACTGTCAAAATATAAATTTAAATAATAAAATAATATTTTAAAAGTCTATAAATCAGAAAATGTGATTAAACTATTATTTATTAGAAAAAAATCCTTTTTAACTCTTTAATAAAATCCCAAGTGGCCAATTGCTCAATCATGACAAACCAATATTGCGGTGGTCCAAGACTGTGGGCACCCAAATCTAAAAAGTTTAGGGACAAAATAAACACTCAAGAAGTTGGATACGTGGAGATCTATTTTGACAAGCTAAATAAAGTAACGTCTTTATCTCGCTGACCTTTTAAGGATTTCGTGGGGTCAAAAGCATATAGGAATCAAAGACGAGGGCTTGGAGTTGGGGCTGAGATGAACAGTGAACGTACAAAGGAATTGAAGCGATAATTCTATCCAAAGAACTTGTTTCGTGATGTAATCATTTTATTACTTTATTGTATATGAGCCCATGGAAGTTTTATTGGGCCTGTAAGACATAAGAAAAATAGGAAGAGATATAAGAAGAGAATAAGTTGGCCTGGAATGAAAAAGCCCAAATCTTAGGTTTTTATATTACTGTACAACATTTTTGAAGGGTGTTCAAAGACCAGTTGGAACCGGAACCGGAACCGGCAGGTACCCTAGGTTTGGTTCTGGTTCTTATCAAGAACCAGTCGTCAATGGGTAGGTTCCGGTTCCAAATTTTTGGAACCGTTACTGTGCGGTTCCGGTTTCGGTTCCTATAGTTAGGAACCGAAACCAGAACCAGGACCCAAGAACCGAGACTAATATAAATAAAATCAAAGATTAGGGGGTTAATAAAACTTTTGTAGAAAAAGTAATGTGAATACATTTATATTTATATTTCATAACATTTAAATAAGTTGGTTTGACTTTTGAGAATCTACCTTTACAAAGTAATGGAGTTGTAATTTTGAATTTATAATTTTATAATTTTATTTTTGTTAACAGTGTCAGGTGGGGGGGTATTTGTAAGTTTTTAAGGGTTTTTTTTGCCATTTTAAAAACTTTGGGAGGTCATGTAATTTTACAGGGTACCCAGAATCGGAACCAAAACTGTTGTTACAGGTTCTGGTTCTGGGTACCTAGGAACCGGAACCGTCGATTCCGATTCTGGTTCCAAATTTCAAGGAACCATCGGTTCCGGTTCTGGTTCCTTCAAAAAGTGCAGGTACCCGTAACCGACACCCCTATTTGCGTCCATGTGATTTTAGTTCATTATTTTCCAAGTATACCTAGAGCATCATCTAGAAAGATAAAACAATAAAGATAGGATGACAAACCCTTTTCATTAACTTCTCTCACAACCGCGATGTGATAGTTCACAACTTGTTAGTTCGCAATTGGTCAGCGATACCCATTGTTAGGCAGAGAACTCTTACGATCTATCACGTCGCATTTGTGAGATAAAATTGTAATAAGGGTTTGTGAGCGTAGTATTACCCAATATAAAATGCTTCCAACTCGGTTCCTCCATCAAAAAAACTCAAGTGCATACATCAATATCGACCTCCAATTTGTCCTGCCTTAGACATAAACTTAAGAAAAATATTTTAATAACGTTTTGTTATTATCTCCTGGCTAAATTTGCTGCCTCTTATGTCCATGAAGCTAACACCAAGAGAGCTTGTAGCACTCGATACAAGTTTTAGCAAAGAGAAAGGATCACCTTCAACCAAAAGAGTTGAACGAAATCTTATTCAAAAACTGCCTCTAAGGTTCATACCATAAAATCTCATTATCCACATCCTCACTAACAACGAGTCAATAACTCTGGATTTTTCCATCTCTAAAGGTAGCCTTCTCCATCTCTAAAAAAAAAAAAATTAAGAAAGAACCTAGACAAACTGGTGAAGAACAAAGGAAATTTATAGACGCAGATCTAAAGATAGACAAAACGCCTAGGAAGTCACTTGAAGCTAGCTGAAGCTGATAACACAAAAATCCCAAAATCAACCGAGTCACGCCAGCCAAAAGTACGTGCAAATGTATTTTGTCGTTAAGATCACATGCAGCAAAAAGTGCCATTAGAAAAGATTTTGTGCACACCATACTAAACACAATGAACATCAAGAATCGACTACACAGTATCTTTTTTTGATTCTAAAGTCTAACACACAATTAATTAATGAATAAAAAATAGCAGACATTCACGCCACACATGGACAGAGAATCAATATGACAAAAATAGTACTAATAAATAAGTAAATAAACCAAATTCGAAAATATTTCCTTAACTTAGACTTGGAAGTTTCTCCGAAGCAAAAATGAGATAGGAAGGGTGTAGGATAGGCACACCTGTCGGTGCTACAGAATTCGTACAGCTTGCCGCGGCTGGAGAAGTGACGAGAGCGCTCGACATCGCAGAGCGGAGAGTTCTCGAGCCTTCTTGATCAATCCGCTTCGCCTTTTTGAAAAGGTTACTTGACGACTGCTCTTGTTCTCGATTCGCCTCAGTTGCACCTTCTTTCGGCCCATTTCGACTCAATTCACCCCTAATTCGAATCAAAACGCCCTAGAAAGAGAATTAGGTTTTCTGTTAGGATTGGTTTTAAAAGTGCATAGCACCAACGGTTTTGTAGACGTACAATTTAAAATCGGAAGCCAAAACGTCTACTTCTTGACACGTGATTGTAATAAATGTTTGATGTATGTTAGTTTTTTTTTTTTTTTTTCGTCTCAATCTTGAATTTAATTAATATCTGCCACCAGTCAAATGTATTCCACCATCCACCTACCATTAATTGAACTTGTTACAAGCTTTTATTTGGACAAAAGTTGAAAGTATGATAAAAGGAAACCGTCGATAGTAAAAGAAGCATATAATCTCTATTCTGGCGGACCACCATGTCGGTAATTGGTGATCCTTATGTCAATATCAACATATATTGTTCCTTTTAGTTTAATCCCATTAACTACCTTTACTGTTTCTAGAGATTAGAGCCTATAAAATGGGCATTATAACAATCCAAACTACTTCCTTTAATCTTAAAATTTATATAACATCATTCAGAAAAATGAAAAAAAAAAAAAAAAAAATACTACAACCAAAATTAAATTGTAACCCTTGTATGTTTACCTGCTCGCAGGAATGACCGAAACATCTCACCACCTATGTCGTTG